ATACGATTCGTATGAGATGTGTCCACCTGTGGCCTGAACTGCAACGTGTGTGCCAGTGCTTACAAGCCAGCCAGTGTGCGCACATCTAAGGATACATTCGGTACATTCTATATTATCCATATTATCACTGTGTTTGGTGCTTGTTTCTGCAAAACAAGTCACCATGGGCCCCGAGAAATCTTTTAGTGCCAAGCCTTCGAGAAAAAACGCTCTAATGACTATTGAAATGAAGAAAGAGATAATTGCAAAGTACGATAGTGGAGTGCGTGTATCGGAGCTGGCCAGGTTGTATAGTAAACCCCAATCAACCATCTCTACTGTGGTGAGCAGGAAAAGGCAATCAAGGAAGATGTTGTTGCAAAAGGTGCAACTTTGTTTTTGAAACAGAGATTGCTAGTGTTAGAAGATGTTGAGAGACTTATTGGTGTGGATAAATGAAAAACAGATAGCAGGAGATAGCATCTCTCAAGCGATCATTTGTGAAAAGGCTAGGCAGTTGCATGATGATTTGGTAAAGAAATTGCCTGCAACTAGTGATGATGTAAGTAAATTTAAGGCCAGCAAAGGTTGGTTTGAAAGATTTAAGAATCGCAGTGGCGTACACAGTGTGGTAAGGCATGGTGAGGCTGCCAGTTCGGACCACAAAGCAGCTGAAAAATATGTGCATGAATTCAAGGAGTACATAGACAGTGAAGGATTGAAACCTGAACAAGTGTTTAATTGTGACAAAACAGGCCTGTTTTGGAAGAAATTGCCAAGCAGGACCTACATTACTCAGGAGGAAAAGGCACTCCCAGGACATAAGCCTATGAAAGACAGGCTTACTCTTCTGATGTGTGCCAATGCTAGTGGTGATTGCAAAGTGAAGCCTTTATTGGTGTATCACTCAGAAACTCCCAGAGCATTCAGGCAAAAGAATATCCTCAAGGCTAATTTGTGTGTGCTGTGGAGGGCAAACAAAGGCATGGGTCACTAGGGACTTTTTCTATGACTGGTTACACCATGCATTTGCCCCCAATGTGAAAAATTACCTAATTGAAAAGAAATTAGACCTTAAGTGCCTCCTGGTATTCGACAATGCCCCTGGCCATCCTACAGACTTTGCAGAGCGACTTTGTGGGGACATGAGCTTCATTAAGATCAAGCTTTTGCCTCCTAATACCACTCCTCTCCTGCACCCATGGACCAGCACGTCATTTCCAGCTTCAAGAAACTGTACACAAAATCTATGTTTCAAAAGTTCTTTGTAGTGATCACAGAAACTCAACTGACTCTAAAAGGGTTTTGGAAGGATCACTTTAATATCCTCAATTGTATAAACCTTATAGGTAAGGCTTGGGAGGAAATGACTAAGAGGGCCTTGAACTCTGCTTGGAAAAAACTGTGGCCAGAATGTGTAGACAAAAGGGATTTTGAAGGGTTTGAGGCTAACCCTGGGAATCCTATGCCAGTTGAGGAATCAAATTGTCGCATTGGGGAAGTCCTTGGGGTTGGAGGTTAGTGGGGAGGATGTGGAAGAGTTGGTGGAGGAGGACAATGACAAACTAACCACTGATGAGCTGCTAGATCATCTTCAACAGCAAGAAGCCAGGCCTGAGGAAACTGCTTCGGAGGAGGGGAGAGAGAAATTAAAGAAGTTGCCTACTTCAAAGATTAAGGAAATGTGTGCAATGTGGCTTAAAGTGCAAACCTTTTTTGATGAAAATCACCCTGACACAGCTACTGCAAGCCGTGTTGGCAACCTGTACACTGACAATGTTGTGAACCACTTTAGGGAAGTCATAAAGGAACGAGAGGTACAGGCCTCTGTGGACAGATATATTGTGCGACAGAAAAGTCCACTAACTCTCAAGCTGGTCCTAGTGGCATTAAAAAAAGAAGGGAAGTAACCCCAGAAAAGGACTTGCTACCTCAAGTCTTAATGGAAGGGGATTCCCTTGTAAACACTAACACCATCAACACTCTCCCCTCCTCCCATCCCATCAATCATCACCAGATCTTCATTAAAGGTAAGTGTCAATTATTCTGTTGTTATTAATCTATTGTTATTGTTGTTATTGTAATTATTCTATTGCATTAAACTTAATGTTTCATGTGGTAAATTTTTTTTTTTTTCATACTTTTGGGTGTCTTGCACGGATTAATTTGATTTCCATTATTTCTCATGGGGAAAATTAATTCGACTTTCGATATTTTCGACATTCGATAGCTCTCAGGAATGGATTAGTATCGAATGTCGATGGTCCACTTTAATTTCATTACATGCTATATCATACCTTGTATATTTATTTATCCTCTTTTTCATAAAATATGTATTACTTATTACCAAACCTCTTTCTACACATAGCTCAATGATTTAGATAAAGAAAAATTAGATATTACGTCGGAGAGAAGGTGTATGGAAGAAGTGAATGTTTTCAGATATTTGGGAGTTGACTTGTCAGCAGATGGGTTTATGAAGGATGAGGTTAACCATAGAATTGATGAAGGAAAAAAGGTGAATGGTGTGTTGAGGTATCTGTGGTATTGGTGCAATTATTTAATAAATGTATGGAAGAGGGTAAGGTACCTAGGGATTGGCAGAGAGCATGCATAGTTCCTTTGTATAAAGGCAAAGGGGACAAAAGAGAGTGCAAAAATTATAGGGGGATAAGTCTGTTGAGTATACCTGGTAAAGTGTATGGTAGAGTTATTATTGAAAGAATTAAGAGTAAGATGGAGAATAGGATAGCAGATGAACAAGGAGGCTTTAGGAAAGGTAGGGGGTGTGTGGACCAGGTGTTTACAGTGAAACATATAAGTGTATTTAGATAAGGCTAAAGAGGTCTTTGTGGCATTTATGGATTTGGTAAAGGCGTATGACAGGGTGGATAGGGGGGCAATGTGGCAGATGTTGCAGGTGTATGGTGTGGGAGGTAGGTTACTGAAAGCAGTGAAGAGTTTTTACGAGGATAGTGAGGCTCAAGTTAGAGTATGTAGGAAAGAGGGAAATTATTTCCCAGTGAAAGTAGGCCTTAGACAAGGATGTGTGATGTCACTGTGGTTGTTTAATATATTTATAGATGGGGTTGTAAGAGAAGTAAATGCGAGGGTCTTGGCAAGAGGCGTGGAGTTAAAAGATAAAGAATCACACATAAAGTGGGAGTTGTCACAGTTGCTCTTTGCTGATGACACTGTGCTCTTGGGAGATTCTGAAGAGAAGTTGCAGAGATTGGTGGATGAATTTGGTAGGGTGTGCAAAAGAAGAAAATTAAAAGTGAATACAGGAAAGAGTAAGGTTATGAGGATAACAAAAAGATTAGGTGATGAAAGATTGAATATCAGATTGGAGGGAGAGAGTATGGAGGAGGTGAATGTATTCAGATATTTGGGAGTGGACGTGTCAGCGGATGGGTCTATGAAAGATGAGGTGAATCATGGAATTGATGAGGGGAAAAGGGTGAGTCTGTGGAGACAAAGAACTTTGTCCTTGGAGGCAAAGAGGGGAATGTATGAGAGTATAGTTTTACCAACGCTCTTATATGGGTGTGAAGCATGGGTGATGAATGTTGCAGCGAGGAGAAGGCTGGAGGCAGTGGAGATGTCATGTCTGAGGGCAATGTGTGGTGTGAATATAATGCAGAGAATTCGTAGTTTGGAAGTTAGGAGGAGGTGCGGGATTACCAAAACTGTTGCCCAGAGGGCTGAGAAAGGGTTGTTGAGGTGGTTCGAACATGTAGAGAGAATGGAGCGAAACAGAGTGACTTCAAGAGTGTATCAGTCTGCAGTGGAAGGAAGGCGGGGTAGGGGTCGGCCTAGGATAGGTTGGAGGGAGGGGGTAAAGGAGGTTTTGTGTGTGAGGGGCTTGGACTTCCAGCAGGCATGCGTGAGCATATTTGATAGGAGTGAATGGAGACAAATGGTTTTTAATACTTGACGTGCTGTTGGAGTGTGAGCAAAGTAACATTTATGAAGGGGTTCAGGTAAACCGGCAGGCCGGACTTGAGTCCTGGAGATGGGAAGTACAGTGCCTGCACTCTGAAGGAGGGGTGTTAGTGTTGCAGTTTAAAAACTGTAGTGTAAAGCACCCTTCTGGCAAGACAGTGATGGAGTGAATGATGGTGAAAGTTTTTCTTTTTCGGGCCACCCTGCCTTGGTGGGAATCGGCCAGTGTGATAATAAAAAAAAATAATAAGGTATCTGTGGAAACAAAAACATTATCCATTGAGGGAATGATGATGAAAGAATTTTCTTTCTTTTTGGGTTTTTCTTTCTTTTTGGGTCACCCTGCCTCGGTGGGAAATGGCTGACGTGTTAAAAAAAAAAAATTATATGTTGAGCTGTGTCAGGCTGCATCTCATATTTCAAGTACTAAAAAAACCTTGAAACATCTAATACAGTATCATAAGAAACTAGTGTACATAATCAAACCACAGTACAGGCGGGGATTGAACTCGCGGTGAGTAAGTCGTAAAACCCCAGACTGGAGTTTACGACACGGCAGGGATCTAAAAACTCCAGACTGGAGTTTTAAGATCCCTGCCTGTACTGTGGTTTGTTTGCAATCATGTGATTATGATTTCTTGAGTCATAGTGTACATAATGTTAGACATTGAAAAAATGAAAAAAGAAAAATCATAATTTGGCATCAATAAATTGTAAATTTACATCACTTGCCGACAAATGACCATATTTTGCCAACTTGAGCAAACCTTAAAATTGTAAGTGTTAATCTTATTTAATTTTTCTTTTCATAGTTCTAATTAGAAAAAAATGATTTTTAGACTGCAAGAATTTTTTCTTAAATTTTACCACACACAAAGGAAATAAAATGTCAGGGTCTTCCACTGTTTAAGGAACAATAGTTCTTGTTCTTGTATTATTTTCTTTCCATTGTAGGAATCCTGTTCCAAAACCGAACCATAATATGAGTATGAATCACATTAATCAATAATAGACATAGCTCAGTTATAGCTACCATTACATAATCATTATATTGGAATGTTGCAATACTTTTCCAGCGACGATGGCGGCCCTATTCTCCAGAAGTCACACAGCTGCTGGAGCGTGCATACTCTAAGAATTTGCGCTCTGTCTATCTAGGGGACTCTGATCCTGCCCTCAAGAATTATTGTGTTCACCTACCTCAGATGGAGCAGACCTGCAAAGCTTCAGGTAACTAACTTCATGTATGATTATTGTCAGCTTTCTTTATGAAGATTACCAAGTAGTGTTTTGTATAGCTGAGCTGGTAACCAGATATAATCTGTCTTGTAACCTGTTACAAGGTTTTCATTTACAAAGGTTATGCCTTGCTTTTAGAGGATAACCAATGTATCATACAAATATGCATGCATTTGTAGTCACTGTTGTATTGCATGTCTTTTGTGAAATAAAGAATAATTTTAATTTCACATTCAGGGGAGTTGGTGAAGATTCGGCGAAACTTTTACCCCCAAAGTTCACCAGCAGGCCAAGGAGCTGTGTGGCAATGGGCAGGAGATGTTATTGGTGACTGGCATGTATATGACATGTGTGTACAGTGTGTCATCGAGGAGTCTTGGGGCTCTGTAAGTTGCAAAATTTGCTTACAATATACATACATGTCCTTTGCAGTCTCATTGTTAATGCCATCTACACATTATAAGTCATGCATGTCATAAGAGGCAACTAAAATACTGGAAGCAAGAGGCTAGTAACCCCTTCTCCCGTATAAATTACTAAATTTAAAAAGAGAAACTTTCGTTTTTCTTTTTGGGCCACCCTGCCTTGGTGGGATACGGCCAGTTTGTTGAAAAAAAAAAACATAAACTTTATGAAAGCGTTTCTTCTTTCTTAGGTCACCCTGCTTCTGTGGGAGATGGTCGGCATGTTAAAAAAATTCACAATAATTTTGTAAGTTCTTTAAGTCTGACAGTATGGAAAGGGACACTGTCTTCCTACTGTATATATGGAAATTATATTTATTTCCACTCCACATTGAAACATAGATTAATCTTTGTAAGACTGGATTCAGGCCTGGTTTGGTTCAATCCTGATTTATACCCTCAATGCTCTCATGTTGTATCTTCATCAGGTGCCAGATCAACCAGGCTGTGATGGATATGAGGGCCAGCGGGCCTCCAACAGCAACAGTTTGGTTGATCAGGCAAGCACTGGACGAGCCTGGCCCATGGCCGGGCTCTGAGAGTAGTTAAACTCTCGAAACTCTTCAAAGGTACATGGGAGTCCCAGTTTGGGCCCTAACCTCCGAATTGGAAAAGGATATTCAATATTTTAACAGGAATGGTTCAGCTACTGCTGCTGCTGCCACAGCAACAGTGTACATGCAGTATTATATACATCTAGTACAGTATGTCATACAATAAAGTGAAAATATTGGACCATTTAACTGTCACCAACATACTAGTCCACATTGAAAAAGGAAGATGTTTGGACCTATTAAAACCCATAAAATAATACCTGGGGTGTAGGGAATACCTCACCCATCCATAGGAAAATTGGCAAGACTCTAATATTTTTGCAATTTTGAGGCTGATTTCAAGCTACTTCCAGTCCTGAAACCAGCCAAAGTAATCTCTATTTCAGTAATATGTTTTCCATTATAGGTAGTAGGTTGGTAGACAGCAACCACCCAGTGTAAAACGAAAGCCTGTAATTGTTTTACATGATGGTAGGATTGCTGGTGTCTTTTGTCTGTCTCATAAATATGCAAGATTACAGGTATGTCTTGCTACTTCTACTTACACTTAGGTCACACTACACATACATGTACACATTTATTTATACACACTCATCTGAGTTTTCTTTGATTTTATCTTAATAGTTCTTTGTCTTATTACTTTTCCTTTTATATCCATGGGGAAGTGGAATAAGAATCTTTCCTCCGTAAGCCATGCGTGTTGTAAAAGTCAACTAAAATGCCGGGAACAATGGGCTAGTAACCCCTTTCCCTGTAAAGATTATTAAAAAGAATAATAATAAGAAAATTGTGAAAGTGGGAAGTCTGAATGTGCATGGATGTTGTGCAAATGATAAGAAAGAGATGATTGTGGATGTTATGAATGAGAAGAAGCTGGATGTCTTGGCTTTAAGTGAAACAAAGCTGAAGAGGGTGGGAGAGTTTCAGTGGAGAGGAATAAATGGGATTAGGTCAGGGGTTTCAAATAGAGTTAGAGCTAAAGAAGGAGTAGCAATAATGTTGAAGGATAAGATATGGCAGGAAAAGAGGGACTATAAATGTATTAATTCAAGGATTATGTGGAGTAAAATAAAGGTTGGATGTGAAAAGTGTGTTATAGTAAGCGTATATGCACCTGGAGAAGAGAGAAGTATAGAGGAGAGAGAGATTTTGGGAAATGTTGAGTGAATGCGTGGGGAGTTTTGAACCAAGTGTGAGAGTACTTGTGGTTGGGGATTTCAATGCTAAAGTGGGTAAAAATGTTGTGGAGGGAGTAGTAGGTAAATTTGGGGTGCCAGGGGTAAATGTAAATGGGGAGCCTTTAATTGAGCTTTGTGTAGAAAGAGATTTGGTAATAATACATACTTTATGAAAAAGAGGATAAATAAATATACAAGGTATGATGTAGCATGTAATGAAAGTAGTTTGTTAGATTATGTATTGGTGGATAAAAGGTTAATGGGTAGGCTCCAGGATGTACATGTTTATAGAGGGGCAACTGATACATCGGATCATTATTTAGTTGTAGCTACAGTTAGAGTAAGAGGTAGATGGGACAAGAGGAAAGTGGCAGCAACAAGTAGGAGGGAAGTGAAAGTGTATAAACTAAGGGAGGAGGAAGTTCGGGTGAGATATAAGCGACTATTGGCAGAAAGGTAGGCTAGTGCAAAGATGAGTAGTGAGGGGGTTGAAGAGGGTTGGAATAGTTTTAAAAATGCACTATTAGAATGTGGGGCAGAAGTTTGTGGTTATAGGAGGGTGGGGGCAGGAGGAAAGAGGAGTGATTGGTGGAATGATGAAGTAAAGGGTGTGATAAAAGAGAAAAAGTTAGCTTATGAGAGGTTTTTACAAAGCAGAAGTGTTATAAGAAGAGCAGTGTATATGGAGAGCAAAAGAAAGGTGAAGAGAGTGGTGAGAGAGTGCAAAAGGAGAGCAGATGATAGTGGGAGAGGCACTGTCAAGAAATTTTAATGAAAATAAGAACAAATTTTGGAGTTAAACAAGTTAAGAAAGCCTAGGGAACGTATGGATTTGTCAGTTAAAAACAGAGTAGGGGAGTTAGTAGATGGGGAGACGGAGGTATTAGGTAGATGGCAAGAATATTTTGAGGAACTTTTAAATGTTGAGGAAGAAAGGGAGGCAGCAATTTCATGCACTGGCCCGGGAGGTATACCATCTTTTAGGAGTGAAGAAGAGCAAAATGTAAGTGTGGGGGAGGTATGTGAGGCATTACGTAGAATGAAAAGGGATAAAGCAGCTGGAACTGATGGGATCATGACAGAAATGTTAAAAGCAGGGGGGGATATAGTGTTGGAGTTGTTGGTACTTTTGTTTAATAAATGTATGAAAGAGGGGAAGGTACCTAGGGATTGGAGGGGAGCATGTATAGTCCCTTTATATAAAGGGAAGGAGGACAAAAGAGATTGTAAAAATTATAGGGGAATAAGTTAACTGAGTATACCAGGAAAAGTGTACGGTAGGGTTATTATTGTAGGATTGCGGATGAGCAAGGAGGTTTCAGAGTGGGTAGGGGATGTGTAGATCAAGTGTTTACATTGAAGCATATATGTGAACAGTATTTAGATAAAGGTAGGGATGTTTTCATTGTATTTATGGATTTAGAAAAGACATATGATAGAGTGGATAGGGGAGCAATGTGGCAGATGTTGCAAGTATATGGAATAGGTAGTAAGTTACTAAATGCTGTAAAGAGTTTTTATGAGGATAGTGAGGCTCAGGTTAGGGTGTGTAGAAGAGCGGAAGACTACTTCCCGGTAAAAGTAGGTCTTAGACAGGGATGTGTAATGTCACCATGGTTGTTTAATATATGTATTTAAAGATGGGGTTGTAAAAAAAGTAAATGCTAGGGTGTTTGGGAGAGGGATGGGATTAAATTATGGGGAATCAAATGCAAAATGGGAATTGACAGTTACTTTTTGCCGATGATACTGTGCTTATGGGAGATTCTAAAGAAAAATTGCAAAGGTTAGTGGATGAGTTTGGGAGTGTGTGTAAAGGTAGAAAGTTGAAAGTGAACATAGAAAAGAGTAAGGTGATGAGGGTATCAAATGATTTAGATTAAGAAAAATTGGATATCAAATTGAGGAGGAGGAGTATGGAAGAAGTGAATGTTTTCAGATACTTGGGTGTTGACATGTCGGCAGATGGATTTATGAAGGATGAGGTTAATCATAGAATTGATGAAGGAAAAAAGGTGAGTGGTGCATTGAGGTATATTTGGAGTCAAAAAACTTTATCTATGGAGGCAAAGAAGGAAATGTATGAAAGTATAGTAGTACCAACACTCTTATATGGGTGTGAAGCTTGGGTTGTGAATGCATCAGCGAGGAGGTGGTTGGAGGCAGTGGAGATGCCCTGTCTGAGGGCAATGTGTGGTGTAAATATTATGCAGAAAATTCGGAGTGTGGAAATTAGGAGAAGGTGTGGAGTTAATAAAAGTATTAGTCAGAGGGCTGAAGAGGGGTTGTTGAGGTGGTTTGATCATTTAGAGAGAATGGATCAAAGTAGAATGACATGGAGAGCATTTAAATCTGTAGGGGAAGGAAGGCGGGGTAGGGGTCGTCCTCGGAAAGGTTGGAAGGAAGGGGTAAGGGAGGTTTTATGGGCGAGGGGCTTGGACTTCCAGCATGCATGCATGCATGAGCGTGTTCGATAGGAGTGAATGGAGACAAATGGTATTTGGGACCTGACAATCTGTTGGAGTGTGAGCAGGGTAATATTTAGTGAAGGGATTCAGGGAAACCGGTTATTTTTATATAGCCGGACTTGAGTCCTGGAAATGGGAAGTACAATGCCTGCTCTCTAAAGGAGGGGTTCGGGATATTAGCGGTTTGGAGGGATATGTTGTGTATCTTTATACGTATATGCTTCTAAACTGTTGTGTTTGAGCACCTCTGCAAAAACAGTGATTATGCATGAGTGAGGTGAAAGTGTTGAATGATGATGAAAGTATTTTCTTTTTGGGGATTTTCTTTCTTTTTGGGTCACCCTGCCTCGGTGGGAGACTGCCGACTTGTTGAAAAAAAAAAAAGTTTTCCATTCTATAAAACGATGCTAAGAAATAGTCAGTAAACCATAAAAATAATCAAATTTGATATTTTAAACCAAATGCAAGGTGAGTGTTTTGCTTTTGCCATCATCCACTGTGTGGGGGTAAAATTTTTTTTTTTTTGTACTGTACACACTCACCACAAAGATCCAGTCTCATATCTAGGCCAAAATTTACCACTTTGAGCTTATTTGAGTAAGCTGAACTTCAGATGTAGATCTGTGTAAGGAGACCCTTGTGTGAATGACTTCGATCTATGTAAGTGATAGTGCAAGGGATAACCCATGCAGTGTGACTTATTTTTGTTTTGTAATATCATAAGGTTTACACAAATAACCTGCACATGGGAGAAAAACTTACGATGATGTTTCGGTCTGACTTGGGCCATTAACTAGTCACACAGAAGTGCAAAAAGGAAAGGAGCCAGTATATATATGAGAGTGGGCAGAGATAAGAGACAGAGAGGAGGAAGAAGTAATAATTAGCATTTCACATACATAGTGTCAGAAGATCAAATCAATAAAAAAAATAGAAAAAATTATTTGCAACAATTTATACTGTATATTCCAAGTGTAGTAATAACTGCCTGTGCATTTCTCTCTGTATTTGGAATCTAAAACCCCTTGAAACATCTAATATCATAAAAAATTATGTACATAGTGCTAAACATTAAAAACAATAAAAAAAAAGATAATCATAGTTTATCATCAATAAATTGTAAAACATAAATAATGCTTGTGCATTTATGTCACTGAGCTTTAACGCACCATAAATTTGTTAGGTTTTATCTGATTCTGTTCGTTATTGTTTTATTATACTTGTAAAAGTAGATTTTTCAAACTGTAAAAGCAAAAATTATTTGTTTCAAAATTTTGCCATACACACAAGAAATTTTATTTCTGAGTATGCCACAGTTTAGGGATTAAATCAAGACAATCCAGTACAGCTTTGTACTGCTGCTGCTGCTACTGCCACTCCCATAACTTCACTACTTCAAACATCACATCCTCAATTCTCTAAACATCATAACCTCAGTTCTCCAAATATAACTTCACTACCTCATACACTATAACTTGACTAGTATATTTATTTTTTTTATTAACCCACTGGCTGTCTCCCACCAAGGCAGGGTGACCTAAAGAAGAAACACTTTCACTATCATTCACACTATCACACATTTGCCAGAGGCACGCAGGTACGACAGTTCAAATGTCCCTCCAAATAGCAAATATTCCAAAGCCCTCCTTTATAGAATAGGCACTGTACTTCCCACCTCGAGGACTCAGGTCTGGCTGACTGAATCAGCTTATATTCAAGGTATAAATACACCCCTGAAATATAAAATTAAGAATCTTAACAGTGATCATGGTTGCATCTAGTTCTCAATGTCTGGATAACACTGAAGTCGCATATTTTACATGGCATTGGTACATAAAGGAAGACTTGGTCAATGTTCCAAAATATTTTAATTGGAAATTGAATATTAAGTTTTCGTAAATAACAATATTAAAAGCTTTAATCACGACATAAGGCAATCCATCATGTACATAAAATTGAAATTGAAATAAATGATTGTATTATAGACGTATTATAGGCGAATGCTTACAGCTTTTCCCAGACACTCGCGTCAAAATCAGAATCATTCTGGATAAGCCAGTAATGAGATGTCTTCACCAGAAGTGAGGTGGTTTTCAGGGTGAGGTAGAGATTCAGTGGCAAGAAGATCCCTGCAGGGAAAGTAAAACTAACAAGTTAGCAGGACTCAAAGGAGTGTGGATCCAGGCTACTGAACAATTGGAGTTCTGGCACTCTGATAAACAGCCATTTTGATCCAACCCATAGTGCTTCCAATGTGTTATATCAGACACAAGTACAGGAAACTTATGCCATTGCCTGGCATACCTAGGTCTAAACTTGAAGAAAAAGGAGAGAGGTGGATGGGCTTTCATAGAATGAAGATGAATGTGATTTCAGAAAAAAAAATACTTGTGTTGGAAAAGTTTATTAAAAATGAAGTGTACCAAAACATCCAGATATAGTGAACACAGATTTCCAAGAAAAGGACAGCAGTTTTTTCACACTCTGATTTCATGGGAAAATATGTTTGCTTTATAGCAGGTCAACACTTACAGTACTTCATTGAGGCTTTGAAATTTCAGTTAGTAATATGACATTAAACATTAATTTTATTTTATTTATGATTTTTTTTTTCCAGGGAGCCCAGAGTGTAGACATGAGTCATACTTTCCGATTGTGTCCCTATGTCATCAATTTCTGCAACCTTACTCAAGTAAGTAATTTTTATTTAGGGGTCTTAATAGAATAACATTTAAAGGATCATGGAAAGAAGCAGAATATTGGTATACTAAATTTTAAAATTAAAATTGCATTGAAGTGAGGTATAATGTTATCATTGGCAAATAATACTAAGTAGCACATTAGCACTTGGTAGGGGACAAATATATATTTATTTCAACAAACCGGCCGTATCCCACCGAGGCAGGGTGGCCCAAAAAGAAAAAGAAAAGTTACCCTTTGGGGGTCGACAGGTCCTCTCAGAGACTTGTTCTCAGGGTCGGCCAAATTTAAAAAAAAAAAATGATTTTTTTTCTTATGAAAAAATAGTTTTTTTTCTAAACATTATAGGCTAAACAAAAAAATTTTACCATCAATACTTACTGAGATATGGAGGCGTGAAGTTGACGAAAAAGGTGCACCATGTGGCAACATTGCCGACTGCCGTCACCCGGTATTCTTCTATTTACTTTTTTGTGTACTATTTTCTTTTATTTTTTAATTTTTCTTTTTCCAAGTAACTTTTATGGCCTGTGAGACCAATATGAGCACTGTTTTGTAAGTTATTTCTTTTTCAATACTACACAATAAGGGCATAAACACTGTTCTCATTGTTTTGTTTGCAGAAAATATTTACACAAACAAACTATATGAAATGCTGTTTATTACTATTTTTCTATATTTTATATACACATACACAGTCACGGGGAATGTTTCTAGAAGTTCTGCAGCTTGTGGAACTCTTTGAAACATGGTGTCATGCACAGTGGTGTTTTACACTTCTCACACATAAAACGAGTGTCTCTGCATTGTTGTGAGCGTTTTCTTGTATGTGCACAGATGTAACGCCTCTTCTGAGCCTTTTTCTTGAAAGCAGTAGCAGGCAGTTTTACTAGGAAGTGATCACCATGCTTCAAACGAGAAGGAACTTGTTGAAAATTTGGTGGGCGGTCTATTGCAGGTGCTGTTCCTTGGTACTTGAATACTATTTGTCTGATGACAGACAAACAGAATTCGCTGTATGGTGGTTTGTTTCTGGTCCTCATCTTATACATATTATAAACATTCAGCATGGAAATGTCCAGAAGATGGAAAAAGAGTTTTATGTACCACTTATAACTCTTGCGAACACAATCAGCAAACCCAATCTGCATGTCACATTTGTCCACTGAACGTATATTGAAGGTGTAATCAATCACAGCTGCAGGTTTTAGAATGGGTTCATTGCTCTCTCTATGCTGCCTGCCAGTGTCTGCCATTTCATTAGGGTGAACTGATGACAACAGTGTGACATCTCGTTTGTCATGCCACCGAAATGCCATGATGTCATTGGCAGCAAACGCCTGCACCTCACCTCTATGAGTGCCAGCGTCAAACCTGGGCATATGTTTCCGATTTGCACGCACTGTGCCACACACATCTGCCATGTTCACTCGCAAAAAATCACTTAGTGAGGGGCTTGTGTACCAGTTCTTCTTTCTTTCAACACACCGGCAGTATCCCACCAAGGCAGGGTGGCCCAAAAAGAAAAATGAAAGAATCTTTTAAATTTAGTAATTTATACGAGAGAAGGGGTTACTAGCCCCTTGCTCCCAGTTGTGTACCAGTTATCTGTATATAATATATGCCCCTTACCAAGGTATGGTTCCATCATTGTTCTAACCACATCACCAGAGATGCCCAATAACCTCCTGGTATTTTGCAATGTATAACTTCCATTGTAGACAATAATATCCAATACCAGACCACTGTAACAATCACAAAGCACAAACAACTTTATACCAAAGCATTTCCTCTTGCTTGATATGTACTGCTTGAAAGAAAGTCTTCCTTTGAACAGAATCAAAGACTTGTCAATTACAAGCTTCCTGAAGGGATAAAAATACATATTGAATTTCTCTTTCAGATACACAAACACATTCCTAATCTTATATAACCTGTCGTTTCTGTCAGGCCTGGTTTTATCTGAGAAGTGAAGCATACGTAACATTAGCACAAATCGACTCACTGGCATTATATCACTGAAACCTGGGGTTGCAATCAGGTGGTCTGTTGACCAGTATGATTTCACTTTGTGCTTATACACATGTGGCATAAGCATTATTGTGGCAAAGAAAAGATGCATCTCAGCCACAGTTGTCTCCTTCCACTGGTGTAGATGTGATTTTGGTGAAAGTATTGTGTTTGCCATGGTGTATTCATAGTATGTGTTGCTTTCCATGACAATATGTACTTTCCATCAGGGGTTCATCAAAGAATAACTCGAAACATTCCAGTTCAGTGGCATTGTTCCCAAGTGTACAACATGGCCGTATTCCACTTCGGCTGTCATCAAACTGGTGGGGATTTGGAACAAAATTGACAGCTTCCTGCCAATCCCAGGTGCGGTCTGCTGGTGGGTACTGGACAATGACAGGTCGTTGTGGTTGTGGAGGTTGTGGTTGTGGAGGCTGATGTGGTGGGTGGGTGGGGGATGGTGGCCTTTGTTGTAGATCAGCTGAGGCAGCAGCATGGGTTACAGCATGGGCCACTGCTGGTGCCTCATGCCCGGCACCACCACTACCATCACTATGCACATTTTCCATCCCAATTGCAACAGTATCATCGTCATTTTCACTGTCAGTTCCTGTTGTACAGCCATGGGATGTACTCCTAGATGTACTCCTTCCCCTTGGAATAGCATATGGCACACTACCAGAGCGCATATATTGTCATATATACTGATGCTTCACTGGGGAATATTGCACTTCACTGTCACTACTGGAACTAGTTTGAAGAGCTTGTAGTTCATAATCACTATCACTGTCATCACAAATGCTCACATCTGAGTCTGGGATTTGGGAAAATAGGAGTTTCCTCTTTGATTCTGGTACAACTGAACGTGAACAAGACGGCCCAGCACCAGAGGTGGAAGGCTGAGGGCCGTCTGGGTTTTCCTCACTATTACTGATTTTTTTTTTTTTTCTACAAGTCGGCCGTCTCCCACTGAGGCAGGGTGACCCAAAAAAAGAAAGAAAATCCCCAAAAAGAAAATACTTTCATCATCATTCAACACTTTCACCTCACTAACACATAATCACTGTTTTTGCAGAGGTGCTCAGAACACAACAGTTTAGAAGCATATACGTATAAAGATACACAACATATCCCTCCAAACTGCTAATATCCCGAAACCCCTCCTTTAGAGTGCAGGCATTGTACTTCCCATTTCCAGGACTCAAGTCCGTCTATATAAAATTAACCGGTTTCCCTGAATCCCTTCACTAAATATTACCCTGCTCACACTCCAACAGATCGCCAGGTCCCAAATACCATTCGTCTCCATTCACTCCTATCGAACACGCTCATGCACGCCTGCTGGAAGTCCAAGCCCCTCGCCCATAAAACCTCCCTTACCCCTTCCTTCCAACCTTTTCGAGGACGACCCCTACCCCGTCTTCCTTCTCCTACCGATTTAAATGCTCTCCATGTCATTCTACTTTGATCCATTCTCTCTAAATGACCAAACCACCTCAACAACCCCTCTTCAGCCCTCTCACTAATACTTTTATTAACTCCACACCTTCTCCTAATTTCCACACTCCGAATTTTCTGCATAATATTTACACCATACATTGCCCTTAGACAGGACATCTCCACTGACTCCAGCCGCCTCCCCGCTGCTGCATTCACAACCCAAGCTTCACACCCATATAAGAGTGTTGGTACTACTATACTTTCATATATTCCCTTCTTTGCCTCCATAGATAACATTTTTTGACTCCACATATACCTCAATGCACCACTCATCTTTTTTCCCTCATCAATTCTATGATTAACCTCATCCTTCATAAATCCATCCGCCAACACGTCAACTCCCAAGTATCTGAAAACATTCACTTCTTCCATACTCCTCCTTCCCAATTTGATATCCAATTTTTCTTTATCTAAATCATATGATACCCTCATCACCTTACTCTTTTTTATGTTCACTTTCAACTTTCTACCTTAACACACACTCCTCAACTCATCCACTAACCTTTGCAATTTTTCTTTAGAATCTCCCATAAGCACAGTAACATCAAAGATACACAACATATCCCTCCAAACTGCCAATATCCCAAACCCCTCCTTTAAAGTGCAGGCATTGTACTTCCCATTTCCAGGACTCAAGTCCGACTATATGAAAATAACCGGTTTCCCTGAATCCCTTTACTAAATATTACCCTGCTCACACTCCAACAGATCGTCAGGTCCCAAGTACCATTCGTCTCCATTCACTCCTATCTAACATGCTCACGCACGCTTGCTGGAAGTCCAAGCCCCTTGCCCACAAAACCTCCTTTACCCCCTCTTTCCAACCCTTTCGAGGACGACCCCTACCCCGCCTTCCTTCCCCTATAGATTTATATGCTTTCCATGTCATTCTACTTTGATCCATTCTCTCTGAATGACCAAACCACCTCAACAACCCCTCTTCTGCCCTCTGACTAATACTTTATTAACTCCACACCTTTTCCTAATTTCCACACTCCGAATTTTCTGCATAATATTTACACCACACATTGCCCTTAAACAGGACATCTCCACTGCCTCCAACCATCTCCTCGCTGCTGCATTTACCACCCAAGCTTCACACCCATATAAGAGTGTTGGTACTACTATACTTTCATACATTCCATTCTTTGCCTCCATAGATAACGTTTTTTGACTCCACATATGCCTCAACGCACCACTCGCCTTTTTTCCCTCATCAATTCTATGATTAACCTCATCCTTCATAAATCCATCCACCGACACGTCAACTCCCAAGTATCTGAAAACATTCACTTCTTCCATACTCCTCCTCCCCAATTTGATATCCAATTTTTCTTTATCTAAATCATTTGATACCCTCATCACCTTACTCTTTTCTATGTTCACTTTCAACTTTCTATCTTTACACACATTCCCAAACTCATCCACTAACCTTTGCAATTTTTCTTTAGAATCTCCCATAAGCACAGTATCATCAGCAAAAAGTAACTTTGTCAATTCCCATTTTGTATTTGATTCCCCATAATTTATTCCCACCCCTCTCCCGAACACCCTAGCGTTTACTTCTTTTATAACCCCATCTATAAATATATTAAACAACCATGGTGACATTACACATCCGTCTAGCTACTAGGGAACGTACTCTACACACCCTAACCTGAGCCTCACTATCCTCATAAAAACTCTTTACAGCATTTAATAACTTACCACCTATTCCGTATACTTGCAACATCTGCCACATTGCTCCCCTATCCACTCTATCATATGCCTTTTCTAAATCCATAAATGGAATAAAAACTTACCTACCCTTATGTAAATACTGTTCACATATATGCTTCAATGTAAACACTTGATCTACACATCCCCTACCCACTCTGAAACCTCCTTGCTCATCCGCAATCCTACATTCTGTCTTACCTCTAATTCTTTCAATTATAACCCTACCGTACACTTTTCCTGGTATTCTCAATAAACTTATTCCTCTATAATTTTTACAATCTCTTTTGTCCCCCTTCCCTTTATATAAAGGGACTGTACTTGCTCTCCGCCAATCCCTAGGTACCTTCCCCTCTTTCATTCATTTATTAATCTTTGAAGAAGGCACCTCCTTCCCTCTCTCTTCTGCTTCCCCTGAAGCAAGTCCCTCAGCTGTGATCTGTTGCTGTTCCAGATGAAGGTCTTGCAGCTCTTCAGTAGTTAGCTCTTTCCCGTGGTCTTCCGCCAACTCTTCCACATCCTAGCCACTCACTTCCAACCCCATAGACATCTCCAGAGACACAGTAGATTCCACAACAGGTGTAGGGTCGACAGGGTCAGCCTCAAACCCTTCAAAATCCTTTTCTTGGACACTCTCTGACCACTTTTTTCTCCAGAGTTCAAAGTCCTGGAAGTCACTCCCTGCCAATCCTTACCTATAAGGCTTGTGCAGTTGTAGATACTGAAGTGATTCCTCTAGAACTCTCTTAGGGTCAATTCAGTGTTCAAAGTCACTTCAAAGCACATTTGAAACACTGCTTTTGTGTAGAATTTTTTGAAGTTTGAAAAGACCTGCTGGCCCATGGGCTGGATGAGAAGAGTGGTGTTAAGAGGCAAGAATTTCACTGTTATAAAACTAAAGTCTATAGACAATTTGTCTACCAAGTTTGGAGGATGAGCAGGAGCATTGTCCAGTACCAGGAGGCATTTGAGTGGCAATTTATTTTCCTGGAGGTACTTTTTCACTCTTGGGCCAAACACTTAATGGGCCCAGTCAATGAAAATTTGCCTTGTAGCCCATGCTATCCAACCTGTAACTGTAGGAGTACCCCAAGGTAGTGTCCTAGGCCCACTCCTCTTTCTCATCTACATCAATGATCTCCCCAATGCATCCCAACTCCTTACACCAGTTCTATTCGCAGATGACACTACATAGGTCTACTCCCATTCAGACCCAGCTGTGCTTGGAAATACTGTAAACAATGAACTGCTGAAGATATATGCTTGGATGATGACCAACAAACTCACTCTTAACATAGACAAAACATACTTCATGCTGTTTGACAACAGAACCTCAAATATTCAACTCAGCATACTGTTAAATGGTTCCCCAATATCAAGACACAGAGGGCAAATTTCTAGGTCTTCTCCTTGACAGTAATCTTAAATTTCAGTCCCATACCCATCACATAGCCAAGAAAATTTCCAAATCAGTAGGAATCCTTTCCAAGATACACTACTATGTACCACAAACGACTCTCCTTACCCTGTACCACTCTCTAATGTATCCTTACCTCACCTATGGTATTTGTGCCTGGGGCTCAACCACTGCCAACCACCTTAGACCCTTAATAATCCAACAAAAAGCTACTGTGGGGGTGATAACCAGCTCCTGTGCTAGACAGCACACCCCACCACTTTTCAAAAGACTCAACTTGCTAAATATACAAGACTTACACTCTTATTATTGTGCCTACTACATATACAGAACTTTAAACTCCACTGTAAACCCTCCCCTAAAACTACTCCTCGACAGTTACAACAGAATGCACAGTCACAATACAAGGCATAAGGCGCTTTTCAACATCCTTCGAGTAAGACTCTCACTATGCAAGAACACTATGCACAAAAAAGGCCCGAAGATCTGGAACTCGCTACCTGAACAGGTCAAGGATCCCCAGACAGCTTATAAATTTAGGACTCTGCTAAAAAAATCATCTTATCTCACAGTATTAACCAAATCAACCAAACATCTAATTTTATCATGTGACCACCTGGCTTTTAATTCTGCCATTCCATAAAATATTACCACCTGCACCATTCCTTGTAAATTAGATTTTGTACTAAGTATACATAAGATTTATTAAGTCCAAATAAGATTGTAAAACAGCTAACCGATATTCCATGTTTAGTTTTAAGTATAATTACTATGTACTATTAACTTATCTAGTTTTAATTAGTTACTATGTATTAGGATTAGTTTGCCCAAAATGCCTCGGCATGATAGTGGCTATCTTTGTACTTAGCAAATAAAAATTGTAATTACACATTGTAACCTTTACAAAGAAATAAACTTATTATTATTATTATTATTATGTCTTATTGTTAGCCCTCCACATCACACACAATCTACTCTCGATGACATTGTTTTTCTTGAACAATCTGGGATTTTCAGCATGATACACCAGTAAAGGCTTCACTTCGAAATCCCCACTATCATTAGCACAGAACAAAGAGTTAGCCTATCCTTCATAGGCTTGTGTCCTGGCAGTGCCTTTTCCTCCTGTGTGATGTAGGTCCTCTTTGGCATTTTCTTTCAAAAGAGGCCTGTTTCATCACAATTGAACACTTGTTGGGGGACGAATTCTTCAGCCTCTACATAGTCCTTGAATTCGTGCACAATTTTTTCAGTAGCATGTTTATCTGAACTTGCAGCTTTGCCATGCCGTAAAACACTGTGTATGCCACTACACTTCTTGAAGTTGTCGAACCAGCCTCTGCTGGCCTTAAATTCACTAACATTAGCACTCGTTCCAGACATTTTCTTTACAAGATCCGCATGCATCTGCCTCACCTTTTCACTGATGATCGTCTCTGAAACACTATCTCCTGCTAATTGTTTATCATTGATCCACACCAATAACAACTTCTCAACATCTTCGATTGTTTGTGATCTATTTTTCGTTAGCATATCTACCCCTTTTGCAACATCAGCTTCCTTGATTTCTTTTGTCTTTGCCAGGATGGAACTGATGGTTGATTTGTTTTTGCCATACAGCCTGGCAAGCTCGAGCACATGCACACCACTTTCGTATTTTTTGACAATTTCTTTCTTCAGTTTTATCGTGTTTCTCACTTTTCCAAAGGGCTGGCACTAGGAAGTTTTTTAGGGCCCATGGTTAATTATGTAGCAGTTGCACTCAATGAACAAGCACAAAAAACAATGGATTATTGTGAAATGTTTGGATGAACGTACAGGGTAATGTTCACTCGAGAAGTAACAAAGCAAGACTGACTCACAACGCATGCATGGGATGCTTTGTGTGGGCGCGGGCAGGCAGACAGGTCTGGTACAGCGACTGAAACTGCAGGTACTGTTCAAAACTCGAGACAAAATTTAGGCAAAAAAAGTGACCGAAACTGAAAACGGCTGAAACTTGAGGTTCCACTGTATTAGAGCTGATTTCCTCTATTCTGTTTATTACTAGTCCAGTATTTTTTTAAATATTCCCTTACTGGTAGATGATCATTGAGCATGACCCTTTCAGGGCCAGGACCTCTGATCTGAGAATTGCTCTCAAGGTCCAAGAATTTAAAAAAAAAAAAAAGAGGTTGGGTCCAGAATAAACAATGTAGACATTCCTGGCACTAAAAAACATTTCCTCTGTTCATTAGTTATGTCCTCAGGCCTCTCATTATATTACACTTGCTTTCCATTTTGAACTTTTATTCACACACAAAAAAAAAACAAGATTTACTGTTATCCAATTACTGCATTATTGTAATAATTGTATAAATAATGTCAGAACATTTGTGAACACGTATTAGACTGACCAGTTGGACTAACCTTTGCAACTTCTCTCCAGAATCTCTCAAAAGCACATTATTATCAGCAAACAGTAACTGTGCTAACTCTCATTTTGTATTAGATTCTGCACAGTATTTTAATCTCGCCTCTCTTCCCAACACCCTAGCATTTACTTCTTTTACAATCCCATCGATAACATGTTAAACAACCATTGTGACACCATGCATCCCCTCTAAGGCCTACTTTTACTGGAAAGTAATCTCCCTCTCTCCTACACACCCTAATCTGAGCCTAACTGTCCTCATAATAACTCTTTAATTACATTCAGTAACCTACCATTTATTACATACACTTGCAACATTTGTCACATTGCTTCCTTATCCACCCTATCATGTGCCTTTTCTAAATCTGGCTAGAAAGTATCTTTACTGTTTTTTAAACTTTCTTGGAAACAGTTTGTACTGGATTTGAGTATTAAATTTAAATTTGTTGTTCAAGTGCAACCTTGTTAATTTAGTTTCTATTTTCTTTGTACCTGGATGTCTTTTATTATATATTTTTTTATTTTCTCCAGATACAACGTAGTAATTTTTTCTGCATTGCATGTGAGCTTGTTGTCATCTTTAGCTAATGTATGTTGTCTAATAACATTAAGGAATAGCACTGGCTGTTACCTTAAGAATGATTTATTATATGTTTTTTCCATAGATGAACAGCAGAACAGGTTTCATCCGCAGCATCAGAAGAATCCAGCAGGCAGCTTATCCTGTTGGAAAACCTCCTGTTGTCCCCCAACAGTCACAGCCTGGATCAGGTATACTAGTACTCTTTATCCTGTATACTTTTAGAGAATAGTATTGTTGTGATCTCAATCCACTCACTACAAAACCTGCATGTTATTCAACACCCTCAAATTACTACTCCAAATAAAAGATTGGTGTCTTTGGGAAAATAGGTCCTGAGTTTCACACACTCAAATAAATTTCTGGCTATCTTCCATTGAGGTAAGGCGATCCAGAAAAAAAAAGGAAAAACATTCACTGTCGTCCATTCAATCGCTGTCTTACTAGAAGTTCACTGCCATCTGAACCAGTGGCGGCTCGTCAAAAAATAGAATGGGGGGACTGCGTGACTGCAAGCCTCATAGAACAGCATAATAAGCGTTATTAAAGTAATAATTTTTAAAATTAAACTAAATTTAATAATGATAAGCATTCACACATACGTATCCATAGAGGTCATCACAGTCCTGCTGGTGGAGACGTGGGTAGGTGAGGTGATGATGTTACAACTATTTGAAATTGTGTTTCGCTATTGAAATCTTGTATGCTAAATCAATTTGAGCTGCAGTGTTCACTTTACCCAGCATTGACAAATCAATATTGTTATTAATATGCTTGATTGACTGCTCATGTTTCATTACTTTTTGTGGTAAATGCCTCAAGTCAGTCATGCTAATTTTAGTCCATGAAGAGTCCACCAAATAGTAAGCATGGAAAACAGAATAAAGTGTTCTTTTCGTCACAGTTGCAAAGCCATTCACTTTTCTGGTAAACACTGATGCTAAACTGGCACATATATTCTTTGCTCCTACTTGTACTTTTTTGTAGAATGGATAAAACTGGTGTATGTCGTCCATTTTCTTTTATCTTTACCTTTTCACTTAAAATCAACTGCAAAAAGTTAATACAAGTACTTTGTAAATATTTAGCTGAGTTTACTCTAGTTTCCACTGCCATCATTTAACAAATGGTAATTAAATTTAACGCTATTGAAAAGAATTTAAACGGCCACCAATACCAATACCAGCCACTCGTTACAACATGCATATTCACAATGTAAACAGACCAATTGCAACTGGGTGTGTGCTGCATCGAATGCAGCTCCTTACTGCCAGATGTAATGCCAGTAATACTTTTATTTTTAATCATTTTTTTTATTTTGTTTCAACAAAAAAAAATTGAAAATTTGCTTATAAATACATTGTAAACAACATACAACAGATTTTTCCTGTAATATATTTGTCAGTTGCAAATTATTTTAGCATAATGTTAATGAAGTCATACATCTGGCAGTGAGCATCTAGGGGGACTGCAGCTCTGCAGCTCCTGTGGATGAGCTGCCACTGATCTGAACTGTGATGTCAGCATGTCTCTGGCAAGACAGCAACTGAATGAATAACATTGAATGTGTTTCCTCTTTCTTGGAGGTCACCTTATCCTGTTGGGAGATCAATCAATCAAGTTTATTCTCTATAATGATTACAATGCGGGGTTTACAGATTTTGGTTATTGTGTGGTTTACATGCAATAAAATATTAATTACAGAGGGGGCCACTATGTGGAAAAAAAGAAATCCCCACTTAGACCCTAATGCATCTTGAAAACTTTTCGCTATTTGAGTGTTGGGAGCTATTGACCTATTTTTGCATGAATTTAACCCTGTCAGGGTTTCCGACGTACTAGTATGGCTTCGCACCAGGGTTATTGATGTACTAGAATGCCTAAATTCTAGCGCCATCAAATCTAGTGAGAGAAAGCTGGTAGGCCTACATATGAAAGAATGGGTCTATGTGGTCATTGTGCACAGTATAAAAAAAATCCTGCAGCACACAGTGCATAATGAGAAAAAAAAAAACTTCGACCGTGTTTTTGGTTTAAAACAGCGACTTTGCAGTGTATTTTTGTATGGTATTTTTGGTTGTATTCTAGTTTTCCTGGTCTCATTTTATAGAATGGAAATTGAGATGATTTTGATTGGTTTCATAATGAAAAGTACCTTGAAATTGAGCTCAAAGTAGCAGAAATGTTCGATTTTTACCAAATTTCAGAAGTAAACAAATCATGCCAAGTGTCCAATACACGTCAACTGGTGAATCTAATATTCTTTCACAAGCACACTGATATTATTTATACCATTTCTATACTAATGCAGTAGTCTGCATAACAGTAAATCTTCTATTTTTTGTGAGAATAAAAATTCAAAGTGGAAAGCAAAAGAGATGTAAGAGGGGCCTGGGGACGTGACTAATGAACAGAGAAAATGTTATTTTAGTGCCAGGAATGTCTGTCTTGCTTATTCTGGACCCTATTTTGAAACTGGCAAAATTGCCAATTTCTGACCACTTTATTGGATACTAGAAATTGGTAAATGGTTAGTTTCTTGTACTCATTCGATAGAAAAAATGGAGTTCTAGCGAAATAGATATGATTTTTGTCAACTTGTACACTGAAATTGGCTGAAAATAGGGCTCAAAGTTGGCGAAATCTCCGATGCATAAACATCGTCGAGGCCGCTAACTTCGCGAGAGAATAATTCCGTAAGTTCTCCATCAAATTTCATACTTTTGGTGTTATTATGATCGGGAAAAGATTCTCTATCATTTCATAAGAATTTTTTTTTTTTTTCCGAAAAATTTTCGACCCTGAGAATGAGTTTAGGAGAGGGCCTCTCGACCCTGAAAGGGTTAAGATGCATCTAAATTAATTATTTAAACAATGGAACTATAAGCAATGTATACCACTGTGACGAATTCCTCTCTTCCCTTCCTATTTTCCCTTTTTGTTTCCATACCATCCATCTCTCCTTCCCATTCCCTTTCTGATATTCTCCTACCTTCTTCCACTTTGCGTTCCATCTCTTAAACACTCCCACTCGTTCTCGTATCTCACACAGCACACCGTGCTCTCCACCCTCTTATTGTTGTGGTAAGGGCATTAGGTACCTGGGGTTGTGGCATGTGTTGTGGTAAGGGCAATTTCACGGGAAGGGAGGGCTGTTGATTTGAGTACATACTTGGGTAGGAAGATGAGAAAGTCGGTGTCACCCACTTATTTTTCTGTCCTATTCCCCATGGCCAAACCTCAAGGCCTCCATATCCCCAGGCTCCATAGCATTCTAACCAACCCTCTCCTGGTATCCAATACTCACTCTGTCAATCACTGATAGAAATTGAACAGGTCCAGCTATCAGTCAGCATAATTGTTAAATCTACAATTCTTGACCAGTCTCTACCAGTCATGATCTCACCACACATACATAAATAAATATATGCAAACTATCAGTGCATTTGGTCAAAAAATTAAAAAATATATAATTTGCAATTCAGCTTTAACAAAGTCATGATTATTAAATCTACAGTTCTTTATCAAAATCTTTCAAACAAACATAAACTCTTTACACATGTATAAAATGAAAATGTACACACTGTCAATGCATTTGCTGAAAATGTAACTGAGAAAAAATGTAATTTATAATTCCTCTTTATCAAAATCATGATTTTTAAATCTACAGTTCATTATTGAAAAATCTTTTTATCAATCTTTATCAAATAAATATAAGCTCTGGTGAGTGAGTCGTAAAACTCCAGACTAGTGAGTAAACCTCTTGGCCTAGTCGTTAATTTTGAAAGTTGGTTTTTGCCATGTGAATTATATGATTATAAAATTTTGTATATTCATAATTTTTGTCATATATATATATAGGTCCTTCAGGAAGTATGATAGCTGGTGGCAGTAGTAACATTAGTAATCCAGTCAACACAAGTAGTGCACCCACCTTAGCACCAGGAGCTAATGCATCAGGTGCAAGGCCCAGAAGACGGGACAGTCGAGATGATATGGATATGTTCACATCAGATATGAAACCACGCACCTTGATGACTAAGGTTTGTCATAATGCCTAAATGTGTGTGTATTAATTTGCTTTATACAGTTGAGCATTAGTAAGGATGTAATTATGTCTCTGAATTTTGTTTAATATGATTATGTATTGCAGACTAACATTATTGATATATTCTTTCTTTCTTTCAACACACCGGCCGTATCCCACCGAGGCATGGTGGCCCAAAAGGAAAAATGAAAGTTTCTCCTTCTACATTTAGTAATATATACAGGAGAAGGGGTTACTAGCCCCTTGCCCCTGGCATTTTAGTTGCCTCTTACAACACGCATGGCTTACGGAGGAAGAATTCTGTTCCACTTCCCCATGGAGATAAGAGGAAATAAACAAGAACAAGAACTAGAAAGAAAATAACAGAAAACCCAGAGGGGTGTGTATATATATGCTTGTACATGTGTGTGTAGTGTGACCTAAGTGTCAGTAGAAGCAGCAAGACGTACCTGTAATCTTGCATATTTATGAGACAGACAAAAGGCACCAGCAATCCTACCATCATGTAAAACAATTACAGGCTTTCGTTTCACACTCACTTGGCAGGATGGTAGTATTCCCCTGGATGGTTGCTGTCTACCAACTTACTACCTAAATTATTGATATATGTATTTTTAAAATATTATTATAAGAGACTTCATTTTTAGTCTGTTAGTAAATATATCACAATTATTTTATAAAATGACTTGTACTGTAAACCCTCATTTTACTGGACATTAAGCTTGAAGCAGGTGGCTGGTTATGGCACTTGTGGTGAATAGAGATGAGATTGTTTTGCCTTTATTGTAACAGTAACAGACAGTCCTGCAACCAGCACACTTTGTCCATTGTTTTCGAATCAGCTGACCTAGCAAATTTTATCCTGAACATTAAAATGGTATAAAATACCGACAGGTTGTTAGGTAAGACACATATGCAACAGTTAGGTATCTTTATTATGAAACGTTTCGCCTACACAGTAGGCTTCTTCAGTCGAGTACAGAAAAGTTGATAGAAGCAGAAGATACTTGAAGACGATGTAATCAGTCCATCACCCTTAAAGTTTTGAGGTGGTCAGTCCCTCAGTCTGGAGAAGAGCATTGTTCCATAGTACATTGTTCCATTGTTTCATACTATGGAACAATGCTCTTCTCCAGACTGAGGGACTGACCACCTCAAAACTTTAAGGGTGATGGACTGATTACATCGTCTTCAAGTATCTTCTGCTTCTATCAACTTTTCTGTACTCGACTGAAGAAGCCTACTGTGTAGGCGAAACGTTTCATAATAAAGATACCTAACTGTTGCATATGTGTCTTACCTAACAAATTTTATCCTATATTTTGCAAAGTTTACTAAATCAAGGTCTATTAAACTAAGGGTGTCATTTCAGATTTGGGACTATTGGCAGCATGTTTTCTTTTGTGCCGTTGCATTTCAATAGAGCATGTGAAGATTAATTAGTAAGACCTACTTGAATTTTTTATTAGAAAAAAAAGTAAACCACTACAGGTCTCCCTCAACATACGCATTTTCAACTTTCATGGGCTTCACACATTCGCGAAATCCCAGCCACCAAATTCCCAGCAGCAAAATCATATTTAAGTTTCCCGCCACCCGCGCGTCCTTACTACCCTCCCTCTGACCCCAGCAACAGGCATCCAGCCCGCCGCCACTCAGTCATTCTCCAGCCAGTGATGCTGGCAGTGAAGACTTAAAATCCACACACTAGACTCATCATGCCATGCAGTTACACTCCATATATTCATGACTGCATATTGGAATGGCCATTTGGACAGGTATTGGACAGTGACATCATTTGTTTACTCTTGAACACGGCAAAGAATCGAACACTTCTGCTGCTGCTACTGCTAATAATAATAATAATAATAATAATAATAATAATAATAATAATAATAATAATAATTGGATATTGGATGGTGACATCATTTGTTTACTCTTGAACACGGCAAAGAATCGAGCATTTCTGCTGCTGCTAATAATAATAATTATAATAATAATAATTGGATATTGGACAGTGACCATTTGTTTACTCTTGAACATGGCAAAGAATCAAACATTTCTGCTACTGCTAATAATAATAATAATAATACAATAAAATTGAAGAAGGAAATTGTGCAAAAATACGAGGGCTGAAGCAGTGATAGAGAAGTGGTTGAGGCATTGTAAGTGAGTGTGGCTTTGTTTATGTTGGAGTGAGCATTAGCCTCTGCGCTCTTCTAAACATTTCACAATAATTCATTGTGTTTGGTGCTTGTTGATTGAGTGTGACTGCTACATAGTTAACCATGGGCCCAAAGAAACTTGCTAGTGCTAGTCCTTTGGTAAAGAAATTGAGAAACACGATAGAATTGAAGAAAGAAATTGTACAAAAGTACAAGGCAGTGGTGGAGGCAGTACAATATTTTACGATGTTTTCATGTACGTATTTTATGGTTGTTCATAAGAACATAAGTGGGATGGATTGTAAAGGACCTGCCTAGTATGGGCCAACAGGCCTGCTACAGTGTTCCTCCTTTTTTATGTTCTTATAAGAAAGGAAAAACACTGCAGCAGGCATGTTAGTCTATACTTGGCAGGTCCTTCACAAATCCAACCCATTAACAGAATAAACGCTACCCAAGCAATAAGCTTTGATAATTCTATTTACTCACGTGCAAGTCCCACTCAAATCCAACTCCTCTCACTCATATATTTATCCAACCTAAATTTGAAACTACCCAAGGTTTTAGCTTTGATAGGACCTTGGGTAGCTTTAAAAAGAGATTGGACAAATATACAAGTGGGAGGAGCATGTATGTATGTATGTATATAGTACAATATTTTACGATGTTTTCGTGTATTTTGTGATTGTTCATAAGAACAGAAAGAAGGAACACTGCAGTTGTATGTTGGCCCATACTAGGCAGGTCCTTCACAAATCCAATCCACTAACAGAAGAACATAAGAAAGGAGGAACACTGCAGCAGGCCTGTTGGCCCATACTAGGCAGGTCCTTTACAATCCATCCCACTAACAAAATATTTGCCCAACCCAATTTTCAGTGCCACCCAAGAAATAAGCTCTTGTAACTCTGTCCACTCATATGCAAGTCCCACTCAAATCCAACCCTCTTTCACTCAGGTTTTTTTTTTTTTATAAGTCAGCTGTCTCCCACCAAGGCAGGATGACCCAAAAAGAAAGAAAATCCCCAAAAAGAAAATACTTTCATCATCATTCAACACTTTCACCTCACTCACACATATTCACTATTTTTGCAGAGGTGCTCAGAATACAACAGTTTAGAAGCATACATGTATAAAGATACACAACGTACCCCTCCCAACTGCCAATATCCCAAACCTCTCCTTTAAAGCGCAGGCATTGTTCTTCCCATTTCCAGGATTCAAGTCCGGCTATATAAAAATAACCGGTTTCCCTGAATCCCTTCACTAAATGTTACCTGCTCACACTCTAACAGCTCGTCAGGTCCCAAATACCATTCATCTCCATGCACTCCTATCTAACATGCTCATGCACGCTTGCTGGAAGTCCAAGCCCCTTGCCCACAAAACCTGCTTTACCCCCTCCCTCCAACCTTTTCGAGGACGACCCCTACCCCGCCTTCCTTCCCCTACAGATTTACACGCTCTCCATGTCATTCTACTTCGATCCATTCTCTCTAAATGACCAAACCACCTCAACAACCCCTCTTCAGCCCTCTGACTAATAATTTTATTAACTCCACACCTCCTAATTTCCACACTCCGAATTTTCTGCATAATATTTACACAACACATTGCCCTTAGACAGGACATCTCCACTGCCTCCAACCGCCTCCTCGCTGCAGTATTTACAACCCAAGCTTCACACCCATATAAGAGTGTTGGTACTACTATACTTTCATACATTCCCTTATGTGCCTCCATAGATAACGCTTTTGTCTCCACATAGACCTCAACACACCACTCGCCGTTTTTCCTTCATCAATTCTATGATTGACCTCATCCTTCATAAATCCATCCGCTGACACATCAACTCCCAAATATCTGAAAATATTCACTTCTTCCATACTCCTCCTCCCCAATTTGATATCCACTTTTTCTTTATTTAAATCATTTGATACCCTCATCACCTTACTCTTTTCTATGTTCACTTTCAACTTTCTACCTTTACACACATTCCCAAACTCGTCCACTAAGCTTTGCAGGTTTTCTTTAGAATCTCCCATAAGCATGGTATCATCATCAAAAAGTAACTGTGTCAATTCCCATTTTGTTTTTGATTCCCCATTATTTAATCCCACCCCTCTCCCGAACACCCTAGCATTTACTTCTTTTACAACCCCATCTATAAATATATTAAACAACCATGGTGACATTACACATCCCTGTCTAAGACCTACTTTTACCGGGAAGTATTCTCCCTCTCTTCTACATACCCTAACCTGAGCCTCACTATCCTCATAAAAACTCTTTACAGCATTTAGTAACTTACCACCTATTCCATATACTTGCAACATCTGCCACATTGCTCCTCTATCCACTCTATCATATGCCTTTTCTAAATCCATAAATGCAATAAAAACTTCCCTACCTTTATCTAAATACTGTTCACATATATGCTTCAATGTAAACACTTGAGCTACACATCCCCTACCCACTCTGAAGCCTCCTTGCTCATCCGCAATTCTACATTCTGTCTTACCTCTAATTCTTTCAATTATAACCCTACAGTATACTTTTCCTGGTATACTCAGTAAACTTATTCCTCTATAATTTTTACAATCTCTTTTGTCCCCTTTCCCTTTATATAAAGGGACTATATATGCTCTCTGTCAATCCCTAGGTACCTTCCCCTCTTTCATACATTTATTAAACAAAAGTACCAACCACTCCAATGCTATATCCCCCCCTGCTTTTAACATTTCTGTCATGATCCCATCAGTTCCAGCTGCTTTACCCCCTTTCATTCTACGTAATGCCTCACGTACCTCCACCACACGTACATTCTGCTCTTCTTCACTCCTAAAAGATGGTATACCTCCCTGGCCAGTGCATGAAATTACCGCCTCCCTTTCTTCCTCAACATTTAAAAATTCCTCAAAATATTCTCGCCATCTACCTAATACCTCCCTCTCCCCATCTACTAACTCCCCTACTCTGTTTTTAACTGACAAATCCATACTTTCCCTAGGCTTTCTTAACTTGTTTAACTCACTCCAAAAATTTTTCTTATTTTCATTAAAATTTCTTGACAGTGCCTCTCCCACTCTTTCATCTACTCTCCTTTTGCACTCTCTCACCACTCTCTTCACATTTCTTTTACTCTCCATATACTCTGCTCTTCTTATAACACTCCTGCTTTGTAAAAAAATATGTATTTCTTTAAACTGATTTATATAAACATAGGAAAGAATGACGAAAAAGAAGACAGATTAAGGTGTGGGAAATGCAGTAAGCATATTTTAAACAAAAATCCTATGGTTGATTTTCAATTTAAGTGTCTTGCACTAGGTCAAAAGAAAATGGACACCCAGCCAGATAAAACTTGAGTTGTGTCAATGCAAAGTCAAGGGTAGGTGTGGACAGAGGGAGGAAAGAATTTTGAGGAGATATCGACTCATAAGATAAAGTATGTACGTCAGTCCAGACAAAAACAGGCTGGTTGATTGGTGGAGGAGGGAGAGTAAAAGGGAGGAGACTTATGATTGAATTTTTTCTCATTTGTGTTTTGATCACTTGCATTTATTTGTGTTACATGGCCATTTATCTTAATGTACTCAAAGAGCTGCAGTATATTTTATTGACTCAACTTGTTTATTCAGTTATCAGCACCAATGTGTTCATAGTTCTTGTTTATACTTGCTCACTAACATAAATTAGAAATTCTGTATGGTATGTCTGTTCTCTACCTATATTAGCGATTCATTTTCCTGAATAAATCAGTGTTATATTTTAATAATGACCTAGGCTAATTAGACTATTGATTATCATTGTGAACTTCTCTACTAAATTAAAATTTAATACAGCCTCTCCTCATTTAGCGACGCATTCATTTACTGATGACTCAGACTTATGACGGGCTCTCTGACCAATATGCATACCTGAATAATGTATATTAGAGCTGATTTCCTCTATTCTCTTTGTTACAGTATACAGTACACTATGGTATAAATATTTAAAAATATACCAGAAATATTATAAATGGTGCAAAGGTGACATTAAAAACACTATCAAAAATGGTTGACACAAACCCCACTACCATTATAATATAGAACTCCGTCGTTTAGTGAGGAGAGGCTGTATACAGTAAATAACATGGTATTTAGAGCCCTTATGCCTGGTACTTGAAGTTTAGAATATTTTTTTCTATTTGAGGTCTTTGGGCGTAATCATGGAAGCAGCAGTAGCCGGGGAATTAACATGAATTCACCACCAGTTAATATGGGAGATGGACATTTAGCAGGAGACCAGAAGATGGGAAGAGAAGATGCAAGTCCTCCCAAGCCTATGCCTCGGTTTAATGCTCCACCAGTTCCCAAGCCTCGAACCAATGTGCCTCCACCTAGAAATTCACAGTTTCAGCCTTCGCATGACCAGCATCAACCTTTGAATGACCACCAGCACAATCAGCGACAACTCTTACTAGACGACCAAGAAGACCCTAGAATATTACGGTGGGCATTATTCCATTATCTGATTTCTAAATCAAAATCAGGCATAGAATCTCTTCAGAAACATTCTTGCCTGATTCACTAAACCAAATATTGTTTCCCTTCCTTGAGTTTTTCTTGCAAATTTAGTATGAATACCCTTAGATCCAAGCTTTGTGAACTTTCCAACCTGCCTAATTCACCCTTTGTCATGACTGAAATCAAAAGCTGCAGTGAAATCTCATGAAGATGTACTCAGTGAATTTACTGGATCCAATATGCATTTTTTAGTGTTTTTTCTATCTTAAATTGAATTATTAACAATATTAGGTGAACATTTTGTTCAGATCAGAATCAAAATCAGCCACAGAATAATTTTTAGGAACATATTCAATGGAGGAGGAGTATGGAAGAAGTGAATGTTTTCCGATATTTGGGAGTTGACGTATCAGCGGATGGATTTATGAAGGATGAGGTTAATCATAGAATTGATGAAGAAAAAAAGGCGAGTGGTGCGTTGAGGTATATGTGGAGACAAAGAACGTTATCTATGGAGGCAAAGAAGAGAATGTATGAAAGTATAGTGGTACCAACACTCTTATATGGGTGTGAAGCTTGGGTTGTAAATGCTGCAGCGAGGAGGTGGTTGGAGGCATTGGAGATGTCCTGTCTAAGGGCAATGTGTGGTGTAACTATTATGCAGAAAATTCAGAGTGTGGAAATTAGGAGAAGGTGTGGAGTTAATAAAAGTATTAGTCAGAGGGCTGAAGAGGGGTTGTTGAGGTGGTTTGGTCATTTAGAGAGAATGAATCAAAGTAGAATGACATGGAGAGTGTGTAAATCTGTAGGGGAAGGAAGGCGGGGTAGGGGTCATCCTCGAAAGGGTTGGAAGGAGGGGGTAAAGAAGGTTTTGTGGGAGAGGGGCTTGGACTTCCATCAAGCATGCGTGAGCATGTTAGGAGTGAATGGAGACGAATGGTATTTGGGACCTGATGAGCTGTTGGAGTGTGAGCAGAGTAATATATAGTGAAGGGATTCAGGGAAACCAGTTATTTTATATAGCTGGACTTGAGTCCTGGAAATGGGAAGTACAGTGCCTGCACTTTAAAGGAGGGTTTGGGATATTGGCAGTTTGGAGGGATATGTTGTGTATTCTTTTTTTTTTTTTTTTTTTTCAACAAGTCGGTCATCTCCCACCGAGGCAGGGCGACCCAAAAAAGAAAGAAAATCCCCAAAAAGAAAATACTTTCATCATCATTCAACACTTTCACCACACTCACACATTATCACTGCTTTTGCAGAGGCGCTCAGAATACAACAGTTTAGAAGCATATACGTATAAAGATACACAACATATCCCTCCAAACTGCCAATATCCCAAACCCCTCCTTTAAAGTATTCTGTTGTATTCTGAGCACCTCTGCAAAAACAGTGATTATGTGTAAGTGAGGTGAAAGTGTTGAATGATGATGAAAGTATTTTTTTTCTGGGGATTTTCTTTCTTTTTGGGTCACCCTTCCTCGGTGGGAGACGGCCAACTTGTTAAAAAAAAAAAAATAGTCAATGGATTTACCAGACTAAATGCAGTACAGTAGGGTTGTTTTCTTGTTCAGCTGTTCTCATGAGTTGAACTTTAAACACATCTCTCCATTCCTTATTACTCTTATTTTTTTATTTTTTTTTTTTAGTTCTTTCAGAATAAACACTAGATATTAAGATGTTTACACTATAGACTATTGAAAAATAGCGTGAGAGCTGTATACCACTTTTATCTGAGCAAGTAACATAAATTTACTAACATAAGTCTCATGTTTGTTATACAAACTTGTTCCCTAATGTCTCTCTATTATTAATGCTAATTTTTGTAATGTAAGACGTAAAGTGGGGATTGCCTACAACATTGCCCAAACATAGATCTATGTTGTTACATAGAATGGGTCTTAACACTTGGTGTGCAGAGTATTAAAAAAAATCTGGGATCACTAAGTACCTTGTGGGAGCACCAGTTCAATTAAGCACCAGCTAGAGCAAACAGCACAGCAAACACCAAGGATTCACTGATGCCATGTCGTATTAACACTCCCCTTTCAAGAGGAAAGTGATGTTGACCCTGAGTTTAGTGGCTTTGAGATGGATGTGGCCACAAGTGGTTGAGAAAATGTCAAAAACCTCAATAATAACCTATGTACATTTATGCCACATCCTTTCAGTTTTGATGCTGCTGGTAGTGTTATCTTGCCAGAATTTTCTATAACCTATGCCCTTAGTAAAGAGAAACTATTCTGGAGCATGTGTAATATGTGTTTGGCAGGCCAGCTGGCTGGCTGTTTGACTGGCTGGCTATTTGTCTGGCTGGCTGATTGACTTTGGCTGTATCTATCTCTGTCTCTGTCTATCTCTCTCTGTCTATCTCTGTCTATGTCTATCTCAGTTTCTGTCTCTGTCTTACAGGTACACATAAGCACAGTTATTATACATAGCATAAAGTACCTAGGAGATCCCAAATTTAGGGAACTGGAGCACAGATCCAATTCCCTAGATCAAGGGCCCTTCACCAAGGAACCTCTTTGAGGGGGAAGGACGTATTCTGAAATTTCATTTGTATCCAGAAGCAAAAAATCGACCGAAGACGGTTCATATCCTGAAAAGTTCACATAGTGGGGCGTTTGTAAGCTGAGGTTCCACTGTAGTAGTATGTCATTGATGTCAGCTAGGCCTGTATACAATTTACATGTACTTGTAGTAAATAAAGATATTATTATATTATTAGAATGTTCATCTGTCAGTGTGTTTGTGACTATTTGAGTACTATTTCAATGCATAATATTAATGTCAGAACAAAGATTGGCTATGAAATCACAAGAACTACTACAAATTATAATTATCAGAACATAAAAATTATATAAATTAAAATAAAAATGAGAGAAAAAGTATATCAGCAACACTTCTGCAAGCGGCAGGATTCCATGTTGCCGTCAGGTGAGCATCCAATGAAAGTTAAGACACTTGTGCAACATCTGGTTATCTTTATTGTAGACGTTTTGCCATCCAGCGGCTTTATCAATACAGATTCTTGGACATAACAAGAAAACAGAAGAACTATATACAAAAGATGAGGTAATCAGTCCCTCAGCCTTGGAGGTGGTGTTTAGAGCACCGTGGTTGTAGAGATTCTGAAGCAGAGGCAAGGAGACTGGCGCTTATATAGGCGTCAGTGAATAGGGACGTGTAGCAGACGAGGGCATAGTCACTGGTAGGCGGGATTCCCCAGTGGAAGTAGGTCCCACCCAAATTGATGGGTTAGTTGTTGTAGCCGTGAAGTAGGTCAAGTAGATGTCCTCTGAACCAAGATTCCATGATGTTGCAGTGCCTGACAAGTTGTGCAAAACAGGTATACAATGAGCATCCAATGCCAGATTTGTGGCCTTATGTCTCGGCAGGTACTGACTCTAAAACTTTTTTTTTTGTTATTCTTATTACACACACAGAAAATTGCTCTTGAATTTAGAAAAAAAAAAAGTTCAAAATATTCAGTGTTGACAGTGAAAACGTAGATCTACGTTTGGACAGTTTAACACTTTCAGAGTCTAGACCCCTGATCCAAAACTTGTCCACAGGGTCCAAGAATTTTCAAAAAAATTTAATATTATTTTTTCTTGTGAAATGGTAGATAATCTTTTTCTGACAGTAATAAAACAAAAAGTATGAAATTTGATGGAAAATTGATGAAATTACACTGTTGTGAATTTTGCTGTGTCAGCAGTATTTACGCATTGGCGATTTTGCCCACTTGACTCCCATTTTAGGCCAATTACATTATTCCAGTCAACTAAATTCTTAGCTATTTCACTAGTATTACTACTATTTTATTGATTGAGCACAAGAAATCACCCAGTAAAGTGATTGGAAATTGGTAATTTAGCCAATTTCACATAAATTTCAAAGTATTCCAATTTCAAAATAGGGTCCAGAATAAACAATGCAGGCATTCCTGGCACTAAAATAACATTTTCTCTGTTTATTAGTTACATTTCCAGGCTTTACAAATAAATTTCATTTTACACAAATAACCTGCACATAAAAGAGAGAAGCTTACGACGACGTTTCGGTCCGACTTGGACCATTTACAAAGTCACACTAACCAGAAGTGGAGCAGGACAGCTATATATAGGCAGGAAGAGGTAGTGGTAGTAGTACAAGAATGGTATATAATACCGACAAGATGAAATTAAGACACATGCGCAACACCCGGGCATCCCCATCGTAGACGTTTCGCCATCCAGCCAGCCACTTGATGGCGAAACTTCCACAACAAAGACACCCAGACGCCGCACATGTGTCTTAATTTCATCAGTAGTAGTAGTAGAAGAGGTAGTAGTAGTGGTAGTGGTAGAAGTGGGGAATAAGGAGGACGAGCCAGTCAAATACAAAGGAAGGGAAGCACTGCAAGAGAGCTAGGTGCCCACAGAGGGAGAGCAAGCGCACAGAGGTGCGTGAAAGGGGAAGTGGTGAAATAAATGAAGAAGGAACAGAAACACGGGACAGAAGAGAGAAAGACAACCCAAAGGAGAAAAAGGAAAGAGGAAAGGGGAAGAGGGAGAAGAAGAAAAAGAAAAAGAAAAAATGAGGAGTCAGGTTAAGTCATGGGTGTTCTGAAGTTTGGAGCATTTTACAATGTAGTGGGAGAGGAAGGCATCTACAGAGACGAAGCCAGGGCTAAGATTCATACAAGGAAAGTTGTGTATTAAAGAGGATTCAACTAGACAGCGACTGTTCGAGTTGGAAGTAGGGAAGACAGTTTTAGCAGAAGACCAGTCAATACGATGGCTATGATCTCTGACGTGACAGAAAAGAGCATTGTTAGTGTCGGCAAGCCTAACACTATTTTTGTGCTCCCAAAGTCTGTCAGAAAGAGATCGACCAGTTTTTCTGAAGTATTGAAGAGGACAGGAGGAGCAAAAAATAGAGTAGACACCAGGAACATCTGTAGAGGGAGGAGAGGTATGAACGAGATTAGTGCGAAGAGTGTTAGTCTGGCGGAAGGTAAGCTTGATGGCTAAGGGACGGAGAGAATTGTTGAGATTAGAAAGACCGGAAATGTAGGGAAGGTAGAGGATAGAAGAGTTCCCAGGAGTAGAGAGTTTGGGAGAGAAGAAATTACGTTTAGCACGTGAGAGGGCAGAGTCTATGAAATGGGAAGGGTAGCCAAGACGGGAAAACGAATTATGAAGGGTGGAAATTTCTACTGGAAGGAACTGACGATCACAGATGCGGAGGGCACGGAGAAAGAGGGAGATAAGAACACTTTTCTTGACAGGGGAAGCATGATAGGAAAAGTAGTGAATGTACATGCCACTGTGTGGGTTATTTGTGTATCGTTCCAGTCACGGTATTGTGCCTTTTTTTGTTATAAATTTCATTTTGATTTTTTATTCATATAATGAATTTTTATTCACACCAAAAAATAGAAGATTTTCTGTTATGCAATATTGTAATAATTGTATAAATAATATCAGCACATTCGTGAATGCACATTAGACCCACCAGCCGACATGTATTGGACGCGTGACGTCATTTGTTTACTCTTGAACATCAGCAAAAATCAAACATTTCTGATACTTTGAGCTCAATTTCAAGCCATTTTTAGTACTAAAACCAATCAAAATCATCTCTGTTTCTGTAATATATCTTCCATTCTATCAAATGAGACCAAGAAACCATGAATATAACTCTAAAAAAACATACAAAAAACACTGCAAAGTCGGTGTTTTAATCCAAAAATATGGTCACAGTTTTTTTTTTTTCTCATTATGCACTACATGCTGCAGGATTTGTTTTATGTGGTGCACACTTACCACAGATGTATTCTCTCATATCTAGGCCCAAATTTACCACTCACAGCTTATCTGAGTGAGCTGAGCTCATGGCGTAGAACTACGGTTTGGAACCTGGATTCAAAGCCGTAGAACTACAGGATAGACCCTCAAAGGGTTAAGGGTTCATCATTGTCGAGTTCAATTTTTTTACGTGCATTCGTAATCATATTACAGTACTGAGCATTTTATCCCATGGAATAAATATGAGCTATTGGATATCATTCCCTCAAGGAACTTTTGATTTAACCTTTTGAGGGTCGGTCACGTACAAGTACATCATTGCAGCCAGGGCCGGTCACGTACTTGTAGGCCTAAATTCTAGCGCCTTCGAATCTGGTGGAAGAAAGCTGGCAGGCCTACATATGAAAGAATGGGTCTGTGTGGTCAGTGTGCGCAGTATAAAAAAAAATCCTGAAACATGCTGTGCATAATGAGAAAAAAAAAACTTCGACTGTTTTTGGTTTAAAACAGCAACTTTCTAGTGAATTTTCGTATGGTATTTATGGTTGCATTCTCATTTCCTTGGTCTCATTTGATAGAATGGAAGATATATTACAGAATTGGAGATGATTTTCATTGGTTTCACGATGACAAGTACCTTGAAAGTGAGCTCAAAGTAGCGAAAATTATCGTTTTTTGCCGATATTCAAGAGTAAACAAATCAAGCCACACGTCCAATACATGTCAAATGGTGAGTCTAATATTCTTACATGAGTGCACTGATATCATTTATACCATTTTTATGATGATGCAGTAGTATACATAACAGAAAACTTTCTATTTTCTGTGAGAATAAAAATTCAAAATGGAAAGCAAAAGTAATGTAAGAGGGGCCGAGAGACATGACTAATGAACACATAAAATGTTATTTTAGTGCCATGAATGTCTGTCTTGTTTATTCTAAACTCTATTTTGAAATTGGCATCTTCTGAAATTTGTGTGAAATTGCCCAAATTGCCAATCTCTGACCACTTTATTGGGTAGTTGAAATTGGCAAATGGGCAGATTCTTGTGCTCAATCGATAGAACAAATGGAGTTCTTGGGAAATAGCTATGATTTTAATCAACTGCAACATTGGAATTGGCTGAAAATAGGGCCCAAAATGGGCAAAATCGCCAACTTTGAGACCGCTAACTTCGCAAGAGCAGAATTCCGTAAGTTTTTCATCAAATTTCATACTTTGGTGTCACTATGATCGGAAAAAGATTCTCTATCATTTCATAGGATTTCTTTTTTTCCTGAGAACGAGTTTGGGAGAGGGCCTCTCGACCCTCAAAGGGTTAAGGAATTAGACCATACCTCCCCTTCCTTGCATCAGACATGAACATGAAATAACAAGAGTAAATTGTTCAGCTCATTTCATTTAGTCTATTAATATTAATATTTATTTTTTTCAGGAATGAATCTGCAATGGGCAAATTTGGTTCAAACCACACATTAGATTCTGACTGCAGCTCAATAAATAGTGGGCGACGACCAAGTGTGGACACTACCTCCACATACCTATCCCTGGAGTCTTTCACAGTTGATGATGATCTCGGCCAGGACTCAAGGTACCACAACCCTGTTGAAACTGGGTAAGTGTTTGCATGACCAGCCCATAACACTTTTCCAGGGATTGTATTATTGTCATATTTTTTTTCTCTTAATGATAATAACATTATAATAAAGACATGTATATGCGTGAGCGTGTTCGATAGGAGTGAATGGAGACGAATGGTATTTGGGACCTGACGATCTGTTGGAGTGTGAGCAGGGTAATATTTAGTGAAGGGATTCAGGGAAACCGGTTATTTTTATATAGCCAGACTTGAGTCCTGGAAATGGGAAGTACAACACCTGCACTCCAAAACCAGGGGTTTGGGATATTGGCAGTTTGGTGGGATATGTTGTGTATTTTCATACGTATATGCTTCTAAGCTGTTGTGTTTCTGAGCACCTCTGCAAAAACAGTGATTATGTGTGAGTGAGGTGAAAGTGTTGAATGATGATGAAAGTATTTTCTTTTTAATATTACTGTTAATATTAAACAGATTGAAAGGAATTTCCCAGCAAACATAAAACTGAATGTTTTAATTTTGGGTGGTAACACTTTTGAAGTGTCATTAACCCTTTGACTGTTTTGGTCATATATATATGTCTTACGAGCCGTGTTTGACGTATATATACTCAAAAATTCTAGCGGCTTCAAATCAAGCAGGAGAAAGCTGGTAGGCCCACATGTGAGAGAATGGGTCGGTGTGGTCAATGTGCACCATATAAAAAAAAAATCCCGCAGCACGCAGTGCATAATGAGAAAAAAAAGCTCCAACCGTTTTTGGGGGGGGGGATTAAAATGCCGACTTTGTGGTGTATTTTTTGTATAGTATTTATGGTTGTATTCTCGTTTTCTTGGTCTCATTTGATAGAATGGAAAACATATTATAGAAATAGAGGTGATATTGATTGGTTTTACTATGAAAAGAACCTGGAAATGGAGCTCAAAGTAGGGGAAATGTTTGATATTTGCCGATGTTCAAAAGTAAACAAATGATGTCATTGTCCAATAAATGTCCAACTAGCCATTCTAATATACAGTCATGAATGGGTTGACATTATTTATACAATTATTACAATATTGCAGTAGTCTGCATAACAGTAAATCTTCTATTTTTTTGTTTGAAGAAAAATTCAAAATAGAAAGCATGAGTAATATCAGAGGGGCCTGGAGACATGACTGATGAACAAAAAAAATGTTATTTTAGAGCCAGGAATGTCTGCATTGTTCATTCTGGACCCTATTTTGAAATTGGCGTATTTTTTAATTTGTGTGAAATTGGCCAGATTGCAAATTTCTGACCACGTTATTGAGTAGTTGAAGTCGGTAAATGTGCAGTTTCTTGTACTCAGTCGATAGAACAAATCGAGCTGTAAAGAAATAGCTATGAGTTTGGTTGACTGGAACAATGGAATTAGCCGAAAATAGGGCTCAAAGTGGGCAAAATCCCCGATTCGTAAATACCGCTGAGGTCGCTAGCTTCGCAAGAGCATAATTCCGTAAGTTTTCCATCAAATTTCGTTCTTGTGGTGTCATTACCATCGGGAAAAGATTCTCTATCATTTCATAATTTTTTTTTTCTCGACACCAGAAAACACCTCAGGATTTGGGGTTTCGACAGTCAAGGGGTTACGGGGTGATTCCTCGATTAGTGACAAAATCTTTTATTGTCGGGATCTTAGGCCCCTAATTCTGTTGTTAAGTGAGGAGAGGCTGTATTTGATTCTTTATGTTTTAATCACACACCTCATGGTAACCACATATCCCATTAACCCTTAAACTTTTCACTGTCGAGGTCCCCGAAATTAAAAATGCTGTCAGTGTCGGGATTTTCCACGAAAAAAAAAAAAATTCTTCTGAAATTGTAGAGAATCTTTTTCTGAGGGTAATGACACCAAAAATACAAAATTAGATGGAAAACATATGGAATTACTCAGGTGCAGAGTTAATGGTCTGGGCACAGTTTATACATTCGTGATTTTGCTCACTTTCAGTGGGCAAAATCACCTATTTTAACCCAATTCTATTACTCATTTTGAAAAAATTCTTAGCTATTTTGCTAGTATGCCTTCCATTCTATCGATTTAGCACAAGAAACACCCATTCAACTATCATTGCACATTTACCATTAATTATGTCTACTTTTACACACAAACTAACAAATTTCAATTTAAAAATAGAATCCAAAATAAACACTGTAATTATTCCAGCAACTAATTCAATCTGTCCTCCATTCATTAATCACATCTTTAGGCCTCTCCTATATTGCACTTGCCCTCCATTTTGAATCCATCACAAAAAATTGGTTTTGCACTAATTCTGAGATAGTAAAATATAACTAGGAATGATTGGTCATGGTTAACCCTTTAACTGTCGAGACCCCTGCTCACAAACTTGCTCTCAGTGTCAAAGAATTTTCCAAAAAAAAAAATTATTTTTTCTTATGAAATGATAGAGAATCTTTTGCTAGTGGTAATGACATCAAAATACAAAATTTGATGAAAAACTTACGGAATTATGCACTCGCGAAGTTAACGGTCTTGGCGATATTTACGCATCGGTGATTTTGCCCACTTTGAGCCGTTTTTTGGCCAATTCCAATCGACCAAACTCATAGCTATTTCACTAGAACTTCTTTTGTTCTGTTGATTGAGTACAAGAAACTGCTCATTTACTAATTTCAACTTCTCAATAAAGTGATCGGAAATTGGTAATTTGGTCAATTTCACACACAATTCAAGGAAGGTCAATTTCAGAATAGGGTCCAGAATTAACAATGCAAACATTGCTACCACTACAGTAACATTTTCTCTGTTCATTAGTCACGTCTCCAGCCCCTCTTATATAATGCTTGCTTTCAATTTTAAATTTTTATTCAAACAAAAAATAGAAGATTTACTGTTATGCAGACTTCTGCATTATTGTACAAATGGTATAAATAATATCAGCACATTTGTGAAAGCATAGTAGACCCACTAGTTGATGTGTACAGGATGCATGACTTGATTTGTTTACTCTTGAACATCAGCAAAAATCTAATATTTCCACTACTCTGAGCTCAATTTCAAGGTACTTTTATTCTGTAAACCATTCAAAATCATCTCTAGTTCTGTAATATATGTTCCATTCTATCAAGTGAGACCAAGAAAACGAGCATACAACCGTGAATACCATAGGAAAATACACCACAAATTCGCTGTTTTAAATGAAAAATAGTTTTTTTCTCTCATCATGCACTGTGTGCTGCAGGATTTTTTTTTGTACTGCTCGCACTGACCACTCAGACCCCTTCTCTCATATGTAGGCTTACCAGCTTTCTCCCGCAAGATTGGAAGCCACTAGAATTTTGGTGTACTATTACGGGACCGTTACTGACTTGCAAGCCGTAATATTACTGAACCGACAGCGAAAGGGTTAAATCATCTCAATAAAGGAAGCAGACGTAGTAAAAACCCACAAAATAGATCAGGGAGGGAGAGCCTTCCCCTTCCCCAGGAAAATCATAATTAATTGAATATTTCCATTACTTTGATCCCTATTTGAAGCTACTTCTGGTCTTCAAATTACCAATAAAACCATAACAACATCCTAGAAAACATCTCAAAAGTCACTACAGCCTCTCCTCACTTAACCTTTTCAGGGTCCATCCCGTAGATCTACGGCTTTACGTTCAGGGTCCAAACCGTAGATCTACGTCATGAGCTCAGCTCACTCTGATAAACTGTGAGTGGTACATTTGGGCCTAGATATGAGAGAATACATCTATGTTGTATGTGTGCACCACATAAAACAAATCCTGCAGCACACTGTGTATAATGAGAAAAAAACTGAGACCATGATTTTCGATTAAAACAACGACTTTGCAGTGTTTTTTCTTATGTTTTTTATAGTTGTATTTGCGATTTCTTGGTCTCATTTGATAGAATGGAAGAAATATTACAGAAATAGAGATGATTTTGATTTGTTTTAGCACTGGAAATGGCTTGAAACTGAGCTCAAAGTAGCAGAAATGTTAAATTTTTGCTGATGTTCAAGAGTAAACAAACGACCTCACACGTCTAATACACACCAGCTCGTGGGTCTAATATACATTCACAAATGTGGTGATGATATTTATACAATTATTACAATATTGCATAATAGTAAATCTTCTATTTTTTGGTGTGAATAAAAATTCATTATGTGAATAAAAAATAAAAATGGAATCTATTTGTAAAGCCTCAAAACGTTACTAATGAACAGAGGAAATGTTAGTTTAGTGCCAGGAATACCTACATTGTTTATTCTGGAACCTATTTTGAAATTGGAATATTTTGAACTTTGTGTTAAATTTGCCAAATTACCAACTTCCGATCACTTTATTTTGTAGTTGAAACAGTTGACTTGGCGATTTCTTGTGCTCAATCGATAGAATAGGAGTAATACTAGTGAAATAGCTAAGAATTTGGTCGAATGGAATAATGTAATTGGCCTAAAATGGGAGTCAAAGTCGGCAAAATCGCTGATTCGTAAATATCGCTGACACATCAAAATTCGCGAGAGCATAATTTCGTAAATTTTCCATCAAATTTTGTACTTTTTGTTTTATTACCTTAACAAAAAGATTCTCAAGCATTTCATAAGAAAAAATAACTAATTTTTTTTTTTTAAATTCTTGGACACTGGGGCACCACTTCAGATTTTGGTCTTGGACCCTGAAGGGGTTAACAACGGAGTTCTGTTCCTACAACCATGTCAGTAAATGAATTCATTGCTAAGTGAGGAGCATACGATAATGGCAGTGGGTTTGTATCAACCATCTTTGATATTGTTTTAATGTCACCTTTGCATCATTTACAGTGGACCCTCGAATTTCATAAGCCTCGCGCTTCATAAATTTCGACTTTCGACAACTTTTTTCATCAAAATATAGCCTCGCGGTTCGTAATTTGCCTCTCAACTTGTCGCTCATCTGTTACACTTACAAGTGGCCTCCCACCATTCCCAGTCCGTGAGGCATTGCTTATTGGCGAGTGACCATCACCCCATGCGTTCATATGA